AATTATTTGTAGCTCCAGATCTGAAGAAAAATTATTGGATATTACAGTTAATAACACGTGGCGTGTTTTACTTCAAAAGATACTTTTCTTATCAAATTTGTGCGAATTCATAATTATTGACATTATAAAACTGAGCGAATGCACTAAATATTTCTGTGTATACATTTCGTCAACTATAGCTTGGTGTGTAAATAATTTTGTCACGTACATTTTTAGGTAACTGTCATTTTTTCAGGATTCGGCTGTCAGAAAGCCCCAAATCTTTTAAGAATAGATTGGACACGAAACTGCTATGGTGTACAGTCTACAAAGGATAAAAAGGTGATAGACTATCTTCAGGAAAACCAGCGGTCACCTGTATTCAGCAGTAACATGGCTTAAACCGCCAAGCGAAAATTGTTAAAAACTTACACTTTTTTCTCAGTTACATGTTTTAAGCAACCGCCTTTCTTAAGCAGACAATATATAGTTGGGCTTCCCCCAAGAAGCAGCTTAGTAATTTGTGTCATTTTATACCATACACAACAAGTATATAACTGGGATACCCTTCACACCCATGCACCCGAAACGTATGATATTTTTATACATAAAAAATCAACCGATCACTACCGATCTCTTCAACAGATTTGCACATGCCCTACGGGTTCGAGCGAAAGAAGTTCGATTGTTTTATAAGCATAATCACTGCGGTATACCGTACCCCGGATATTGCTCGATATTATGAGGACTTTCATCCCATTTCGCGACTTTGAACGGGGAACGAAGGTAAGTTCAGCCACGATATTTTCCAAATTTATGGCTATTTCATTTATCTCAACGGGTTTTATATATCTAGAGGTATTTTTGTAGCTCTAAAAGACGTAAAAGTATTACAGGTATTTGTAAAATTGATTAAACTACCCCTAAACGATCCGCTGCTCACTAGAAAATACTGACCGCGATACTGTAGAATCGTTAGAAATTATAATGTTACCAATATAAAAAAAATTGAATCGAGCAATTTTTTTATTCACAATCCAAGTATGCTTTGTCCAAATTTCAGGCAAAAAGTGTGAAAGTACAAAAAGATACAGGCCAAAAAAGATACAAGAAAGTGTACCGAGTATTGATTTTAAGTGTACAGAGTATTGCAAAATAGCCCAACTTTAGTGTACAGTGTATTGCAAAACAATATGAGCACATTGGTATGGAAAATCGATATTTTTGTCCAATTTTCACGTCTGTTCATCGATTTCATAATATTTTGCTGATAATGTACTGTTTATTTGATATTTATTCAAATATTTCAAATTCAACAATGCATTTTCAGTGTTATAACTGTTCATTTCCTACGGGCAAATACAGAGATTTAATTTCCCATTTGATTGAAAATCACACTATGGATGAAATAAAGTGTGTGCAGGGTCGGAAGCAGGGTCGGGAGCAGGGTAGAACCATCAAAATTGACGATAAAAATCTTTAAATACATGTCTCAAGAAACTGTAATCAAGGAGACACATCTCTGAAAAGAAAAAGAATAACAAAACACTTTTAGATGACATTAATAATAGTTTTTTTACAGGGCAAGTTTGTCTTAAGAAACATATCGACACACTTAGTGAAATATTGGCCCGAGTGCTTATGCCGTCCAAGCATGCCGGTATCGTCTTAACCTTTTACTGCATGAGCATTGCGATCATTGAATTAAGCCTCTTGTTACAAGTTCAAACTGCTATGAAACTATAAAAAAATGCTTCAATACTGATCAAACTGGGCACAAATGTTGGCTGGACCATAGCCTGTGGAATAGCATGCTCAATTTAAAATTTCCAGTTACCATGGCAACGGGGGGGGGGACGTCTCACAATTGCCAAAAATCTCTATTTGGAGTTTTTTCCCCCCCATCAAAACTGATTTCAAGGCGCAGCAACTTCTAATTGATTGAAATAAAGTCTAAGGTTTTCGACGTTGATTACACGGTACCTTTAAATCGGCCTGAGGCCATTTTAGCCCCCTCCCCCACAAGCCCCAAATCTTCTCGGCGATAAGAGGGGCTACTGTCCGACTTCAAACCCCCAAACAGAAGGGGGCAAATCCCCCCTGTGGCACCCCCTTGATGTACCTTTTTAATGGGGGTGGCACCGAAAAAGTGATCACTCTTTTGAACAACATTTCAGAAACGAAAAAACAGTGTTTGGGGCCTAAATAGCAAATGTTTTCCTCAAACTGGGTGGGGTGTAAAGCCTTCAAAACACGCCTTTATGAGGTAAAAGATTATAAGGAACATAACCTTTTTATTGCATCTGCTGCCCTTTATCATAATCTTATCAAACTCCATAATTCGGTTTTTTGAGCTGTACCCGCTCGGCAGTCATACGGTAACTCATTGCTAATGACGTAACAAATTTCACGTGCAGACGGTCTGCCGTTGCTAGAGTGCATGAGCAAAATGACCGAAAGTTACCTTTATATGGATATTTGGCATAGTAGGATGCATTTTTTTGCTATTTACTATTTAAAGTGAGATATGCAATAATTATTAACACATTCTGGAAAGGTTGATCCTTCGATAGCAACGAGAACTTTTTAAACACAGAAAATTGCTGAGATTATTCATGAGCAGGATTATTCGCAGATGTTTCCAGTAAAGTACCTCCGAACTCTGTATATTCTGCACACATATAGTGTAAATAAGTATGCACAATAAGAAATATTTGAGATTAAATGTGGTAAATACTCTGTGTTTACTACTTGCATTTACTCTATATTGATAACCAATACTCGTTACACTAAAAAGCAATTCTCGTGACACCGGCGGGCAACTCCAAGGCAATACTCGGTACACTGGCATGTGTATTTATTCTCAAAATGCACTGTCATCTGAGGTTCTATTGTTGATTGAACATTTACAACATAAATATTATCATCATTATCACATTTCACTCGATTCAAGTTTTTTCTTTTAAGGAAGTATATGCACAAAAACATCAAATTTGACTGATCCGAACTCATTTATCACGTGAGCAAAGAGACGAATTTTACCTCCTAATTACATTTCAAAGCTATTTCTCAACATTTTTGGGTTTTCAGTAACTAGGGAAATTATCGAAGTATTCTTTTTTCTATAAAGTTTATATCAAACCAATTCAAAATGACTAAATATCGTCACTGAACTTACCTTCTTTCCTCGTTCAAAGTCGCGAAATGGGATGAAAGTCCTCATAATATCGAGCAATATCCGGGGTACGGTATACCGCAGTGATAATTGTATACATATATAAAATTTCACTTAAGTGTGGTATACAGCCTCAATTATAACATACAGGATCTTTACGTATTTTAATAATTTGAATATGTTAAATTTAAATTGTTCCTTGTTGAGGGCCTCGTGGAAGATTAATATGTTGTTCAAATGGGGTCTCTTGTTAAAAAAAGTCTATATCATCCTCATCATCATCGTTGTCGTCGTCGTCATCACTATCATTATTATTATGATCTTCATCTTTTACCACACAGATAGGTATACCACACAGATATGTTTACTACACAGACAGGTAAACCACACAGATAGGTATACCACACAGATATGTTTACTACACAGACAGGTATACCACACAGATAATTATACCACACAGATAGGTATTCCACACATATAGGTATAACACACAGATAGGTATACCACACAGACAGTTATACCACACAGATAGGTATACCACACAGACAGTTATACCACACAGACAGTTATACCACACAGACAGTTATACCACACAGATAGGTATACAACACAGATAGGTATACCACACAGATAGGTATACCATACAGATAGGTATACCACACAGATAGGTTAACCACACAGATAGGTTAACCACACAGATAGGTATACCACACGGTTAGGTTTACCACACAGTTAGGTATACCACACAGATATGTTTACTACACAGATAGGTTAACCACATAGATAGGTTAACCACACAGATAGGTATACCACACAGATAAGTTTACCGCACAGATAGGTATACCACACAGATATGTTTACTACACAGATAGGTTAACGACACAGATAGTTATACCACACAGATAGGTGTACCGCACAGATAGGTTTACCGCACAGATAGGTATACCACACAGATAGGTATACCACATAGATAGGTATACCACAATGATAGGTATACTACACATATAGTTATACCACACAGAAAGGTTTTCAACACAGATAGGTATTCCTCACAGATAGGTATACCACACAGATAGGTATACCACACAGACAGTTATACCACACAGACAGACAGTTATACCACACAGACAGTTATACCACACAGATAGGTATACAACACAGATAGGTATACCACACAGATAGGTATACCATACAGATAGGTATACCACACAGATAGGTTAACCACACAGATAGGTATACCACACGGTTAGGTTTACCACACGGTTAGGTATACCACACAGATATGTTTACTACACAGATAGGTTAACCACATAGATAGGTTAACCACACAGATAGGTATACCACACAGATAAGTTTACCGCACAGATAGGTATACCACACAGATATGTTTACTACACAGATAGGTTAACGACACAGATAGTTATACCACACAGATAGGTGTACCGCACAGATAGGTTTACCGCACAGATAGGTATACCACATAGATAGGTATACCACAATGATAGGTATACTACACATATAGTTATACCACACAGAAAGGTTTTCAACACAGATAGGTATTCCTCACAGATAGGTATACCACACAGATAGGTATACCACACAGATAGTTCTACCGCACAGATAGTTCTACCGCACAGATAGGTATATAAACTGACATATGATGTATTAATTTTTTTTTAAAAATTGTGACCTTACTTCATAGTTGTTTTTTGCACCTGTTGCATCTGCCTATTCTACGGAAATACCGGTATTAAGTTACACCCTCAGGTACTTGAAACAAACTATTTTTAATGTTCTATATAGGCTATATAGTCTTAACCTTATTTAGCACAAAACACAAACACAGTTTTGCAATGGGCAAGGCTTACGATTGTTTATTATTTGAGCAGTGTGTACAAGTACATGTTATTGTAAAACTTCGTTTTCATACATACAAATATACATTATGATACGACAAACCGTATACATATAAAAAGATAAACAATTTCACTTGTATATTATCGTTTTGTGAATATCCTTACAAACTATATTAACCAAGATATGATAAGTCAGGTTAAAAACCAGAGATTAAACAATCAGCCCATTATAAGGAATGTTAAAAGACTCTGGAAAACTGTTCCTATCATACCAGGGTTAGTTACAGTATACCTATATAGCTTGTTACAAATATTTTATCAACATAAATGATTGTATGACTGTTACATATATTTTTATATAAAATCTGTTTAATGTCTTATGTTTCCGATTTATCACAAATATTTATTACAAAGCCATATGCAACAACTGGCTGAAATACAATATTCGAATTTGAATAAAATTGTCCTTCACAATCGAAACCGAGCGTAGAACTGATTTCCACGAGCATTTTACCGCCTAAAACCACATGACCAATCACTGATCACGTGATATACGCATCAGTGATCCGCGCACTAGTTTATGTGCGACATAACGTTGAGACATACGTTCTGCGGCTATACTACGTAACGCGCAGAACTTAAAAGTCTTAACCTTATTTAGCACAAAACACAAACACAGTTTTGCAATGGGCAAGGCTTACGATATAACCTATACAAATGTTAGAGGAGGATATTCAAATTCAAATTATTCTCAACAATACAGCATACAATTACAATTTTAACTGTTTAGTAACAAAAAGTTTTTTCTCTAAAGAATCATCTATAAAACCGTCTTTGGCCAAATCAGATTTCCAACGACTATGTCGCTTTAAACACCTATCTGAAATACGTTCTGCATTAGCAGCGTTGGTAGCACCGCTTGCTCTCAGTGAATGCGTTCCTAAATGCAAATCGGGTGCAACAATCTTTAACTAAGAAACAATACACTCTTTTGCACGAGTGTAGCTCAACTTTTTATTTTTATGAATCAAAAAACATTTTTGACGTGACCTACAGGCAGGCCTAAAAATGTAAGAATCAGAATTAAACTTCTCATTGATGCAGTCTACCTTTGTAACATAGTTACCGGACAGGCTGAAGTTTGACCTCTAGAAATAAGAACTTCTTTGTCACCCCTGTATATATCAGTTTTACTTTTCTTAATTGACAAAGACAAATATTCACTCTTAATACTTATATCATTACGGCGTAAATTGCTGACCTCATCAAAACGCAAAAATCCTGCATAACTTAAAAAAATCATAGTTAAATCCCGGAGCACAATAACATCTGATGAATCTGAAAACATGTTACACAGTTCCTTTAAGTGATCAGAACTTATAATGTCCTTCTTTGTCCTGGGTCTAGAGTTGGTACGCTTTGCACACTCTAACATAGATTTTACTATAACGTCTTCTGTCGGATCTGCGAAGTCATTTATATTATGATACCATTTAATGCCGTAAAATGCTGCTGTAATTACACTGTCTGATTTACCAATATCGATTAAATTGGATAGATACATGGCTACGTGAATGGAATGTGCGGGATTGCACAAAAATCCCTTCTGTGTACAGAAATCTCTAAACGCTTTTACTTGATATGTATATTTGTCCACTGTGCTATCCGCCCTAGAATCTAATATATGTACAGCCATTCTGTCTATAACACGTTTTTCGTCGTTTATATTTACACCGGCATCATGAAACTTGCTTTTGAGTGTTTGTCTCAAGCCAGAACCTGAAAGCATAATTCTGAATTAATAATTCTTAAAAACTAAGAACATATTAACAAACTAAACTGTCGCTTATGACGAGTCACATCTCAATGCCATCATCCTGAAACTGAAAGGTTCCTTATTAAAAACTCCGTTGTTTCCTTTTCCCTTCGTTACCGCACCTATCACCGGTAAAACATAAAAATCTTTCACAAACGTTTTAAAACTACCATTATCGTCTTTTAATAATGGCCAAAATGCTGAAGATTTCCACTCAGGAATTACTAAAGTACCTTTACATTTTTCCTTTTCTAACTTATCTATACACTGGATAACCATACTAGGCGGTGGAACTAACCAATTGTTGTCGTTAGACCAATTTTGTGTTAAACAATTAACTGCTTCCGTACCTGGTACCCACCATCTAGAATTAAACCTTTTACAATTGTTATTGCAATGTGTAGAAAACCTATCAATAGTAAATGGACCCCATTTAACATTTAAATATCTAAATACATCTTTATTTACAGACCAGTCATCACTATCAAAACATCTGCTAAGATAGTCAGCTTCTGCATTGCCACTTCTTGGTATCCATACAACTGTAAAAATATGCCATTCGAATCGCAAACATTGTGTATTTTTAAACAAATTTCATGTAAATCATCAATGAAGCTGCCCTTATTCAAAATAAATTTGACATTCATATTGTCTGTGTAAAATACTAAATTATTTTTGTGCAAAATTTGTAAATTGCTTCTCAACACTCTATGAATAGCCTCAAGTTCACGCCAAGTTGAACTTTTTTGCTTTTCAATTTCGGTCCAAGAACCCAACCGTGTACATTCGAACCATTCAATCTACAATAACCACCCGTATAGAATACGGTGCTCGCTTCCGGGAGCAACAGTGCACTAGACTCACTTCCGGGAGTATTTTTCTGTAAACAACCCTGATAATCTTGCTCACATCCGGGAGCTACCATTTCAACCACATCCACATCCGGTGGGAACCTTAAAATGCGTTCAAAACTCTAGCCTGAATTTTCTTCCAGATATCTATTACAAAAAGGTGCGACACGTTCATGATTAGTAAGAATATATGAACCCTTTGCATTCTCATTTTCAAGAACTGACCGATTTTCTTTTGATATATAACCTCCGTATCCGTCGGAGCTTGCATCGGTTGTCATACTCAAACTAGATGTAAAACATTTCTTTATGTGCTGACCCTTTGTATTCAAAATACGTGCATTATCTAGCCAAAAATGCAGCTCATTTAAAGCTTTCTCGCTTACCTTAACAGAAGCATTCCAACTTGCACGTGCTATAATACACTTGTATAGATACCTGGTTCTCCGACACAACGCTTTGAAGAGAAATTATTTGCCCTACAACGGCAGCTAAACACTTAACATGTAACAAATCTAAATTATCTGTTGATAATTGAAAAATGACTGATTTTAATGACGATTCTAAACGAGCAATTCTTTCTTCTGCAATAAACATACAATTTGTGTTATAATCAATTGTAAAAACATGGTAACTTTATGACCCAAAGATCTCCAATATTTAATGATAACCCGAAGTGTTTTTGTAAATATATGACCAGCGGTGGATATTCCGAATGGCAATGAGTTATATACATAATATTTTTCAATCCCATTTTCAATATAACAAAAACCTAAATATTTAGTATGTTCCGGAAAAATATCTATGTGATGGTAAGCACTCTTTAAATCGAAAGAGTAAACAAATGTATTGAGGTCAAACATATTTTCTGCAGTGTTTATATCCTCAAATTTTATCTTAAATTTATGTAAGCAAGGATTAATATGTCTGCAATCTAACACTAACCTAGGTTTACCCACTTTATTGTAAGCCACTGTTAATGGGTTTATAACATAGGGCCTCTCTGTTACCTCAGAGATCACACTTTTTTCTAAAAGAGACTTTATCTCAGATTTAACGAAACATTCGTTTTCCCTTGCCGATTTGTTGTTTTTCAGATACACTTTTTGCGGCATATAACTAAACGGTAATTTGTAGCCATTTTTAACAACGTCCAAAATAAATACATTTTTAGACACATTTTCCCACTTACCAAAATTCTGCTTTAACCTGCCAACTGGGGAAATAGGATTATCTTTACCTTTTGACCCCGATACATTTTCTCCATTATTTACTTGAGCACCCGTACATGATTCATTTTTACTTACTTCCAACCTTCCCAAACATGCCATATCTACATGCTCATCTGTGCCTAAGACTAACTGTGAATTCTCTAAAATATCAAAATTACAAGTACTTAACTTATTGTTCTGATAAGAACTGTTCTGCACACATTCGTTTTTCCAGTGACCGGCTTTGCCACACAAGAAACACATACCTGGCCTTTGTCTTGTGCCCTGTTGAGTCTGTGATGACGATCCTGAAGTCTCCAGACGTCTATACGGCCTGCTGCTTTTTCTCGCCTTTTTTGTTTTGTCTGCTTTAGCCTTCCTGCTAGCACGTGCCTCAGCCTTGAAAATCCGCCTCTCATCATCGCTGTCACTAGCGATAGGGTTGGTTTCGTATTCGTTCACCGTTTTCCAGCCCAAATCTGAAGTGTCGGCAAGCAACACCAGTTTTTGCCGCCTTTTCAATAACTCCCATGCTGAAATATTTACACACATGTGTCAAAAAACTAACAATAAAATAATCCTGCCTACCAAAGTAAAGCACGGGCGAAACATGAACGATTAAAATTAAACGGTAGACTCCCGACAAATAACGGGAAACACTGAATGCACGTGACATTTTTCGTTTGTTATTAAAATATTTTCAATTTACCTTGAATAATAGAATCTTTAGCAGACGATAAATCCTGTGTTTCTACGGCTGCTTGAGCGACTGCTAATTTGTCAATAACCTTTGCATTAAGTTTAAATTGTTCTTCATTACTTTTACGTTTAAATTTTGGCACGTTCAAAATTGAAATAGCAGAAGAAGGTTTGTCACTTATCTTCGAAAGCATGTTACTTATGCTTCCCAGAAGCTCCTCGTTGTTTGCTTTTACAACCTCTTTAACTTTCTCCTCAATAAACCCCGACATCTCCGCTCTATTCATGGCTGCTCAAAATTGTCCTTCACAATCGAAACCGAGCGTAGAACTGATTTCCACGAGCATTTTACCGCCTAAAACCACATGACCAATCACTGATCACGTGATATACGCATCAGTGATCCGCGCACTAGTTTATGTGCGACATAACGTTGAGACATACGTTCTGCGGCTATACTACGTAACGCGCAGAACTTAAAACTATAATTGTCTTATTATAGTATATAACCTTTATAGAACATTAAAATAGTTTGTTTCAAGTACCTGTGTTTACACCCAAAGACATTTTTCTTTGCACGAAAAAAATGTTGCTTTAACCTTTAACTTTTAAGGCATGTGTTCTGTTTCTATAAATATATGTGTTATTTTACAGTTATACGACATCTTTATTCGGAAGCATTTGATATTATTGTTTAACTTGGATGTCTTAGTCCGCACGAATTTCACACGAATTTTTTTATTTGCATAATCACATACTACATTTACTACTGAACATTTTGATAAATGACGACCTTTGTTATACTTTTTGTGACCATTCAAACCAAGAAACAAGCTTCTGCCTGCGTAATAGTCGATCATTATTTAACTTGCCTGAAAAAAAATCAATATACATTATGTATGCAAATACTTATGTGCTTCATTTTGCACCTATCATTTCATATTGTGTTACTTTGTTTACTTCATTCGATATTCTTTTTGAAAAATTTAACTTATTTTCAACTCTACAGATCTTTTTACGACACGCTCTGTTGCTATGCCAAATCAGATAATGCACCCTTTTCTCGCGCATACGGAACCTGCGTAGTGGAAAAATATTATTGCCCAATACAGAATAATATAAAAGATTGTCATTTAACATCAGCATGGATTTTATTTCTATTGAATAAGATTCGTTCTACAGAATTAATGCATTTATTCAATTTTGCTTGATGTCACTGGAACTTGAATATGCTTGCCTTATGAAATTTAAACCTGCATTATGCTTGATTCCTTTTCATTCAAACGTGCGTAGTTGCTAATTCTTTCAATGAGTGATGACTTTTGAACTTGCATTTATAAGTCATTTATCGTACTGTTTTGAAATATTAAAATTTTAACGTCATATACCTTGATGTAATATCTTCCTTTCTTCGTCCTCTATACCAACTATTTACAGTTTTCATCTTTTTGTATTTAAAGTCATTCAAAATCGACTACTTTTATTTCCCACTTCCTTTTGTACACCGAAAATTACACGATGGATTTCTATGGAACGCCGTGACTGTCTTATGTAATCAAAGTTTTTGTTATTTTGTGAAACGATGATATTATTTTGTCTTTTGAGCGTGTTAACATGTGCAATTTACATCATGTCTTGTCAAAGGAACATGCTGACTTGTACAAACAACATTTTAACTTGTCAAATGATTATGATGACATGTGCAGACAGCATCCTAACTTGTCAAAGTATCGTGATGACTTGTGCAAACAACATGTTAACTTGTCAAAGTATAATGATGACTTGTGCAAATGACATGGTAACTTGTCAAAATGTAATGATGACTTGTGCAAACGACATGTTAACATGTCGAATTATTGTGATGACATACGGAAGCTTGTATGTACCCCCGCTATGAAGACATGAAGTCGTCTTTCTTGACTTGTTGAACACAACAAGTCGTCAAAATTACGACGACAAGTTTATATATACAATGTCATTTTGACAAAATATATGTCATCATGTCGACATACGGCATCCCGACTTTCATACATAGATAAACTTGTCGGCTTGAAGTAACATGTATGTCGACCTCCATGTTACTTCTAGGCGACAAATATATTAATGTATGAAAGTCGGGATGCTGTATCGCGACATGATGACATATATTTTGTCAAATGACATGGTATATATAATCTTGTCGTCGTAATTTTGACGACTTGTTGTGTTATATTAGTCGAGGGAGACGACTTCATGTCTTCATAGCGGGGGTACATACAAGCTTCCGTAATGACATGTGCAAACAGCATGTTAACTTGTCAAAGAATCGTGATGACTTGTGCAAACGCCATGTTAACTTGTCAAAGTATAATGATGACTTGTGAAAACGACATGTTAACTTGTCGAATTATCGTGATGACATGTGCAAACAGCATGTTAACTTGTCAAAGTATCATGATGACTTGTGCAAACAGCATGTTAACATGTCAAATTACCATGATGACTTGTGAAGACAACATGTGAACTTGTCAAAGAATCGTGATGACTTGTGCAAATGACATGTTATCTTGTATCATGCTGACATGTCAAAACGTACTGTTAACTTGTCAAAGTATTATGATAACTTGTGCAAATACCATGCTAACATGTCAAAATTCCATGATGACATGTGTAAACAGCATGTTAACTTGTCAAATTATCGTTATGACATGTGCATACAGCATGTTAACTTGTCCAAGTATCATGATGACTTATGCAAACGACATGTTAACTTGTCCAAGTGTAATGATGACTTGTGCAAATGCCATGTTAACTTGTCAAAATTTCATGATGACATGTGCAAACAGTATGTTAACTTGTCAAAGTGTCATGATGACTTGTGCAAACGCCATGTTAACTTGTCAAAGTATAATGATGACTTGTGCAAACGACATGTTAACTTGTCGAATTATCGTGATGACATGTGCAAACAGCAAGTTAACTTGTCAAAGTATCATGGTGACTTGTGCAAACAGCATGTTTACATGTCAAATTACCATGATGACTTGTGAAGTATGGAAACGTATATGGTACACCCTGATGATGTCATTTCACGTAAAGATGTGTTCTTGTAGTCCGAAATGATTACGCCAAGTTTTCATAAAATATAAAGAATGATAT